CTCGAATACCAAAGCCTGTGGTTTCTTGTCCAAAGCCACTGGCTTCATAGCTTTCCCAAAAGCAAGGCTTCCCATCGGGAGGCCCTCCCTCGGAGGAGTTTATTATTGCCACCCCTTTTGTAATTGCCAAAAGCAGGGCTGGAAAGGGTTACCCTTGCCGGCTTTGTGAAATGGCTCCGAACCGGCCTGAAGTTTAGCTGCTGCAGTTCCCGGAATCCGGAGTCTCTGGCTTCTTGCCAAAGCCTGCAGCTCTCGAATACCAAAGCCTGTGTCTTTTTTACTAACATCACGTCTTTGCCAATTGACATATCGATATTTACTGATCTGTGTTCTTGTTCCTTCATGCAAGTAACAAGCGTTCTTGTTTCTTTTTTCAAGCAACTGCAGCAGGTTCTGGAAAGCAGAAGAGACTGCTGCACTTCTGGAAACCCGAGCACCCTCTAGCAGAGAAGCCTCCTCTGGAGAAGGAAGCTCAGCCCAAGGGCAGGCCACTGTCCGCTGCCATGAAGCAAATTCTGGCAGAAGTGGCTCGAGAGTCTGTTGTAGAACAGACTGGCGAATAAGCCCGTCTGGAACTTCAGCGACGCTACGCGAACAAGAAGAACGCTGGCAGGCCAAAGAAGCTTCCTGGAGCTCCTTCTAAGAATCGCTCTGCAGAGATGCCTCTGGCAGTGCAAGCCCGTGTTCTGAAGCAGATGAAGACAGAGATGCCTGGCTTTAGTTCTGAGCAGGACAAGCGTTTTGTGAAGAAGCTCTGGGCTAGAAGAGACAACGTTCTCTTGCAACAGTCTCAGCGGAACTTTTCTCTGCGCCCTGGCAAGCACCTCTCTGGCAGGTCTGGTACTGTAAGGGCCGTCAGAAGGCTAGCTCCAAACTAGCAGGCCAAGGCTTCCGTCTGGCAGGAGCCGGCCGCAAGGCAGAGTTTTCTGCTGTGAAGGCCGCTCTGCGGAACTGGTTCGAGGAGTCTCGTGCCTACGGGCACTCTGTGAAGAAGCGGCATCTGCTGTCGCAGCGGCAGCTTCTGCTGACCCAGGAGCTTCTGAAGCTCAAGTCTGCGAAGAGTGCCTCTGCCGACTCCTTCGAGCGGGGTCGTCTGGATCAAAAGATCTCTGAAGGCGAGAAGCAGCTGCAGTCTGCTTCGAAAGATTCTGGCAAGAACCGTCTGAGGCAGCTGTTGCTGGATGTCGGTGCCAAGAATCTGCAGCCGGGTCTGAAGACGAAGCTGTCTGAGTCTGAGAAGATGGTCTCTGCGAAGCTCACTTACCAGAGCCTGGACCGCACTCTGTGGACAGCCTGCTTCGCACCTCTGGAGGATCTGGCGACCAGGGTTGCCAAGCCCGCTGAGTTCAGAGAGCACGTCTCTGATCTGGTCGTGATCTGCTCCGACCAAATCCCTCTCTGGACAAAGTCTGGCAGCGAGCGGGAGCTCTTTGATGAATGGGAGCACAACCCTCTGCCCCAGCAGCGTCTGCGAGAGGCTCCGAAGAAGCACCATCTGTCCCCCGCCGACCAGGCGATATCTGGCGATCTGGTTCCGCCTCTGCTGCAGGCTGTGAAGCCGTCTGCTGAAGCTGCCCGTGCCTCTGGTCAAAGGCAGAAGAGGGCCTTTCTGGACGCGGACTCTGTGCGGTACCGTGTCACCTACGAGGCCAGGCAAGCTCTGTACGGCCTCTGCAAAGACCCTGCTCTGGAGAGCGAGTCTGCGTTGAGCGGGCAAGTTCTGCCTGGACTTCTGGCGGTGCACGGCTCTCACGCTCGTCTGAACAACATCGACAGCTCGGGTCGATTTCTGCGAGACGAGACGTTTGAGTTCACTTGCAAGGTGATCTGCCGCAAAGCAGGCTCTTCGGCGGGCAATCTGCTCCGTGGCCGGGACAAGGATCCTCTTCTGTTTTTTCGCCAGATCAGTCTGATGAGCCAGCCCTCTGCGAATGTGGATGGCATCATCTTCGCCTGGGCTCAGGAGGAGCTGGCTGCTCTGGCACCCACTTCTGTCCATGTCCGCGACTGCTTCGCGGCGGCCTGGTTCTCTGGGGCAGAGTCTCTCTTCTACTCGCAGAGTCTGCAGACGGTCATTGGACCGAAACTGACTGCCAGTCTGCAACTGACTGACACAGACTATGCCAGATCTTTCAAAAGTCTGGCAAGGTCTGCCATGGACGACCTGAGGCTGCTCTAATCATTGTTTATTGCTTCCCTTCTCTGATGTCCGGTTTACACTGTCCTAAACCATACGTGCCTGCAGGCATGCCGGTCAGACTGCTCTGCTGGCAGCTGGCGAGAAGGAGTTCTGGCAAGTGAACCATCTGGACATGGCGACGGCTGTGGTGCAGGCTCAGACGAAGATGTCTGAGCGACAGGCCTCCAAAGACTGGATGATGTCTGGTCTTCGCCGCAACGGTCTGCTGGCTTACAGACCTGACTTCTCCAAGCAGACTCTGGTTCCTCTGAAAGACGAAGACTGCTGCGGCGCCTTCATGGGTCGTTCTGCTCTCTTGTATTTTTTCCAGCTTCAAGTAATTAATTAAGAAAGTCTGTAGCCCTGTAGCCTTTGTTTTTCTCGACATGTTGGCAGCCGAGGTTCTGCAAGGACGAAGCCGGCCTGGCTGAAGGACCGCTACTCCTGGCTGGATGCATCTGGCATTCCAGTCCAGCCGGACTGGTCTGCTCTGCACGGAGCCAAAGTCGTGGCGGATCTGGTGGAATAGAGCTACTACCACTCGGACTCGCAGGACAAGGCTCTGGAAAGCCAGGTCTCCGAGGCCCTTCTGAACGTGCACGAGATGCCACTGGACCTGCAGCTCCCCTGCATCGAATCTGGCGTCCTCACGCTTTCTCTGGACCCGCAACGTGCAGCCTGGCAGAAGCAGCTCTCTTCGGACTCTGACAAACTGCAGAAGAAAGCCGTCAAGCGAGACGTCAAGCAGATGATCACTCTGGCCAAGCGGAAGCTTCGAGGAAAGCTTCTGGAAGCCATGAGGCATCGTCTGACACAGATGTCCCGACAGCAAGCTTTGCAACGTCTGGTGCCAAGAGCCTCTGAGAAGAAGCCCTCTGTCGCGAAGAAGACCGCTTTGAAGCAGAAGAAAAAGACGGCCCTGGCCCACGCTGCCAAGGCTCTGGCGAAGGCCAAGGCTCTGGACGACAAACCCTTCGGCGACTCTGCTTTGGTGCCTGGCCCTGCTCCTGCTGACCCCGTCTCTGAGAAGGCCTCTGAGTTGAAGGAGGCAACGAAGGGCCCTCTCTACGGCCGAGTCTGCAGGATTCTGCGAGAGGACCACACCTGTGGCAAGTCTGGCAAGTGCTCTATGCACAACCTTCTGACGAACCAGGTCTCTCTGCTTGGCCACTGAGTCGCATTTATTTTCTTCAACGAAGAAGTGGAAGAACATGCGCCTGAAGAGGGATCTGAAGCAATGCATTTTGCGAGCTTGCGGTGGCTCTAGCCTCTTTTTGGAGGCTTCTGGTGGGTTCTTTTCTCCGGAGCCTTTGGAACTGCTGAAGTTCAAGAAGTCTTACCCGGTACGGCTGGGAACTTCTGCGGTACAATCTGAGCGACTCCGACGAGAACTGGTTCCTGGAGAACAAGATCTGCATGGTGGACCCGAAGCTCTCTGGGCAGCTCCTTGCCGGAGACCACGACCGCCGCGAGCTTCTGCAGACTGCTCTGGACAGACTTCGTTCTGAGAACAAGCTGCTGTTCGTGCCTGTCTGGGGGAACTCGCCGAACCACTGGACTCTTCTGGTCCTGCAGCGAGAAGACCTCTCGGAAAACTTCTCTGTGAAGTACCTGGACAGCCTGTCAGAGAAGCACGAGGAGTGCTCTGTGAACGCTGCCAGGCTTCTGTCGCTGCTTCTGCCGACAAAGACTCTGCCAGAGAGAAGCTCCTCTGGCACCCAGAAGTCTGTCGAGTGCGGCTTCTGGGTTCTGGCCAACATGCTCTGGATCTGCTCGGGCCTGCTTCTGGAAGGACCCTGTGCTCGTGGGTCTCGCGGCAAGCTGGTTCTGGAGCTCATGTCTGAGCTGAAAGGCTGGCTGGCGCAGCTCTCTGGCGAGCAGTCTAAGCTGGACAAGGAGCTTCTGGGCAAGGAGAAGGATCTGGAGAAGACTTTGATTCCCAACTGGATCCGGTCTGAGAAGCTGGCTGGCAAGGACTCTGCCTCTGTCCTGAAGGTGGAGACTCTGGCGAAGCAGCTGCTCTCTCTGAACAAGGAGCCTGACGCCTCTGATCTGTCTGAGGAGTACAAGTCTCGGATCGAGATTGTCCGTCTGACAGGTCTGGGCGTCTGTTCAAGATGCCACTGGCAAAGTGGTTGTCTGGACTGTGATCCTGCGAAGCTGCAGCGGTATCTGCTGAACAGACTGCGTCTGGAGCTGGGTCTGCCACCTAAGGCAGCCTGAGTTCTTCTGTTTCACAGCTCTTTGGATGCCATTGGATCTGCCGAGAGGTGGAGTTGAAACAGTCTGGAACTGCATTCTGCGAGCTAGTAGTTCAGTGTCGTCTGTGCCGATCTGCACTCTGCTGGCTGGGTTTAGGGTCCTCGTGGTTTGAGCCTCTAATAAATACTTAGCCTCGTCTCTAGGTTTTTGGGGATTTGGGAGCCGGAATATTCTAATTATCACCCCTATTATTATTGCGATTGAAAAATATGATAGGTTGTTGGGGCAAATCTGCCGTCGCCTTTAAACTCCTCTTGCGCCCAGAAATTCTGGCCCGGGAAATATGTTAATTGCCACCCCTATTATTAAATAGAATCCAACATTAGGCTTGAGTTACAAGCCACGAAGGGCGTTGAAATGAGATAGACTACGTGTCTCTGATTCATACTCAAATCGTCAATGTGGACGCTGAGCACAAGCTCACTAGGTGCTCTCACAATCTCGAAAACAGTCTGGCCTAATTATGTCGCATCCCAGAACGGCCATGATCTGAAATTGTCACTACAACGGTTTAGCACTGCCGAGCCTGACCTATGCTTGTGAAGACAGTTCATGCTAGGACGGATTCATGAGAAGTTTGCAGTCGTGCGCATCGTTGGTATCGGCAAAGAACTTGGACAAAGACGTGTGCGGAGCTCAGAGCTGCATTCTCGTGGAAGTCTGGAAGTCGGGAACGCAACTCTGCAAAATGCTGCAGTTGCTGTCAGATCTTTTGTGTTGGGACATGCTGGGACTTCCCTGAGAGCAATCAGTTCATATGCTGAGCAAACAAGCGGAGAAGACCTGCCGTTGGTCCACACACCCGAGGATAGCCAAAATGCCAGAGGCTGCCGAAGACCTGTGGCTTCGCACACGGAAAGATGCAGAAAGTCTACTCAGGATCTTGGGTTTAACCGGCTCATGTTTGTGTTGCTTTGGGTTTGAGTGTGTTCGGCCGTGGGCTTGGCGCTACGCGGCCCGCCTCGGCTGGCGGCTCCAGTTGCGCACCGTCAGCAGCAGCAGAAAGGAGGGGGGGGCTTGGGGGAGGAAAGCAGCGGGAAGGTGGAAGGGGGAAGGGCAGAGCAGGGCAGGGAAGGGGGCAGGTGGAGGGGGGGGCCCGGGGAGGGGAGGGGGCAGGGCAGGGAAAAGGGCGGGGGAGATGGGAAATTGTGAAAATCACGGGTGACAGGACGGAAGCCGGGCAAGGGGGTCGAACACAGGCGCCAAAAACGGGTGAGTTTGTGTTTGGGGCGCAGGGAAGAGGATTGGTATAAACCATCAAAACGCCAGAGGCCTCGGCTGATTTTTTGAAACCCTGCCACATTTATTCTTCCCTTCAGCGGAGCGGGGGATCCGAATCCGGTATGCAGCCCGAAGGCTAGTTCTAAGACGTTCATAGATGTCATGTCAAGAAAGGGTTGATGTCTGAAGTGGAATGCCGGAATGCTTCTTTCTCTGGCTTCTTGTCCAGTGCCCAGCCAAGCGCCGGCGACTCTAGGAATCCTTCCATGACGGCTAGCGAGTTCAAGAAGAATTCTCAAGATCTCCAGCGAGTTATCAAAGACGTCGCATCCAGGCAGAATTGAATTTTCGGATTCCTTGAGCATGAAGTTAAGTTCAGAAGGACCCTGCTCTCTTGCGGCCCTGGGAATGGCACCTTGCAGCCCTAGCATGTAGCCTGTCAGTTGAGTTGAATGACTGCGTCAGTGGGTTGGTTGCAGAGCAGCAGATGCAGCAATTACTTTTTGAGGCCTCCCTCCTCAAGCACGAGATTCGGCTCACAGAGTCGGATTCGACCAAAGTAGCCAGGCAAGTGGCGGAGAAGGTGGCTGAATTGGTGTTAAAAGATCTGGAAAAGCTGATGCCCATCTGTCCGCATCACCTTTTCAACAAAAGATGCGAAGCTCACAAGGGAAAAGGAGAGTGCACCTCGGTATGAAGTCGCCTATGTATCCATGTGCAGCAAGACGTTGTTTTTTGGGAAGGCATTTCAGCCTGTCGACAGTACTTCGGGCAAGGTGCGGCATACAGGAGGATTCAATGTTTAGACTTGTTCAAGCCAGGCGGACTTGTTCAGGGCAGGCGAACTTGATGCTTGTTTGCAAGGTCCGCTGGAGCACCCGGATGTGAGCAAGACGCATGATTCATGGCAACTCTTGGGCATCAGTGGTGGTGTCTTGGACCTGAGGCAGGATTGCCACCACCCGCCACAGACACTCGAAGCTGTACGTAGAATGCGGTGGATCTTGGACTGCTCCCTCATTCGGCGCTCCAAACCTTTACATTTGCTCTGCATCGTGGTGTCTTTCGTTTGGCGCCAGTCGTTGTGAGGCCTTGCCTGCCGAGTTGAGAGCTCCGAAAACAGTGGGACCTGAAGAATCCGCAGCGATGCTGAAAGTGCAGCTGCCGTTTTCCTTGTGCCGTCTCAGGAAAAGCAACAATATTCCACGGCATCGGCTTGAACAGCTGGCTGGGCATTGTGAATATTTGTCAACATAGTGTGGCAAAGCTGCAGAACTGGCTTCGGAATGCGGGACTGACGCTTCACTTTGATGCTGCGCCTTCGTGCTTGCTCAGGTCAGGACGGGGCAGCCTTGCAAGGGCAAGTGTCGGTGGATGCACCCCGAGAAATATGAGCTGCAGAAGATAAAGGAGAAGCTGTGGCGCGCCGCTGAGTGACAGATCGGGTGGCAACAGGCAAGAGGTGCGTTACGTTTCAAGCCTGACATGGCTCAGGAATAAGTGTGGTACTTACTACTTCGACTGGGCAAAAGTCGCGCACTTGGAAGTAGCCGCTGCCTTAGCTTCTAGTGCAGTTGTGCCTGGTGTCGCCCCGGGGTCACCATAGTACCGTCGGGTTTCTCTTGGTCCGACAACATATCACTCCAGTGAGATAGTCTGAAACCAACATTTTGCACATGTATCTCTTGCTCTCAGGGGTCTTGCTTGCAGCAGCTTGCAGCAGCAGAAGAACCCGACGCAGAGCGCGCACATGATGCATGCATCGTTAGAGCTTCATGTGGGTCTTTAGTACGGTATAGATGTTGCAGGTCGCGGAGGTGCTGCTGCAGTCGCTACAAGCAGAAGGAGCAGATCTCAAGATCCCCCATGGGTTTGGCTGCTGCTTCTTCAAGGACTCATTGGCCGGTGGCGAACGAAGTGGAAGATACAGTAGACTGAAAGGCTCGCGAGCTGAGTGGGTTTTGAGAAACTCCGAGCTTTTCAAGCAGAACCCAGGGGAGCGAGCATCACTTCTTTGTCAAGTCGTTTGCAGGACGGCGACAAGATGTTGAATGCCGATCTGCAGCAAGGAGCATTCCGAAACGTCTGTAAATATACAAGGCAAGTTTGTTCTGGCAAAGCATCACATCCGAGCAATCTGCAGTCCCCTGTTTCGCGCTGCCTGAGCAAGCTCCACTGCGTGTATGTGAGCTCCACCGGACTCTGATTCAGGTTCGCTTGGCGGCCATTCTTGCATCTGCGTTCTTGAACAAGCGCAGCTCGTACACCTTGCAGTAGTCCTTTTGCACTTCTTTTTGGATGCTGAGCTGTGGTAAGCTGCTCTCGGGAAGGTCCTCAGTTTTCACACCTCTGAGGTTGCTGTGACCTGGGCCTGGAGGCATCTACGGAAGTGGCCAAGCTGTAGATGGACTGCTGCAGACGTTTCCTGCACGAGCCGATGCAAAACCTCAAATCCACGCACGGGCGAAGCCCACCTTCCAAGGCCGCCAGTGCGTGCTCAAGTGGAAGTCATACTCGCAAGCACATCTGAGGTGCTGCTGCGCATGTGCCGAAGTCTTTACCGCTATCCCGACCCGCAGGCTTCGTTGAGTCGACGAAGCAAACAGGAAACGAGGGGTCTTGTGCCTGATGTATGCATGCACAGCAGTGCAATGGTGGCCGCTCCCGACTTCGCATCTGGAGGCCGCGGATTTGGCAAAGACTACTTTGGCAGAAGTGCGCCGCTCGCTGCACAACTGTACTGCGACGAAGATCCAAACCCCCCTCACCCGCTGTGTTTTTTTGTGCGGCATTCAGTCAGCCATATACAACCACGGCGAGTTGAGTTTGGTATATCCAGTAAATACTCGCCGAGCAGATACAGAAGCATACCATATCGCAAAAACACACACACACACACACACACACACACACACACACACACACACACACACACACACACACACACACACACACACACACACACACACACACACACACACACACACACAACCACACACACACACACACACACACACACACACACACACACACACACACACACACACACACACACACACACACACACACACACACACACACACACACACACACACACACACACACACACACACACACACACACACACACACACACCCACCCACACCCACCCACCCACCCACCCACACCCACCCACCCACCCACCCACCCACCCGCCCACCCACCCACCCACCCGCCCGCCCGCCCGCCCGCCCACCCACCCGCACACCCACCCGCACACCCACCCGCACACCCACCCGCACACCCACCCGCACACCCACCCGCACACCCACCCGCACACCCACCCGCACACCCCCGCACCCCACCTCACACACCCACCCGACCCCCACCCCGTCACACCCACCCCACACCACCCTGCCCCCCACCCGCACACCCACCCTCACACCACCCTCACACCCCACCCGCAACACCACCAGGCCCCTCACACCCACCGCACACCCACCCCGCACACCCACCCGCACACCCCACCCTCACACCCCGCCCCACACCCACCCTCACGCCCACCCCACACCCAACCCGCACACCCACCCTCACACCCACCCGCACACTCCACCCGCACGGCCCCACCCTCACACCCACCCGCCCACCCACCCGCACACCCCCCGCACACCCACCCGCACACCCACACCGCACACACACCACACACGCACACCACCCGCACACCCACCCTCATCACCCACCCGCACACTGCCACCCGCACACCCACCCTCACACCCCCCCGCACAAACACCCCCCTCACACCCCCCGCACACCCACCCGCACCCCACCCTCACACCCACCCGCACACCCACCCGCACACCCACCCGCACCTCCCACCCGCACACCCACCCCACACCCACCCTCACACCCACCCCCTCACACCCACCCGCACACCCACCCTCACACCCACTGCCGCACACCCACCCGCCACCCACCCGTCACACCCCCCTCACACCCACCTCAACACTCCCCCACCCCCGCACACCCCCGCACGCACTCACGCACGTACCGCCCGCACTCACGCACTCACTCACACGCACTCACTCACACACATCGCACACACACTCACAGCACACTCACACACACCACACACACTGCACACACAAGCACCCACACACCCCCCACACACACACCCACACACACACAACACACACACACACACACACACACCCACACACCCACCCACACATCCCCCAAAAAAAAACAACCCCAAAACACCCACACACACACACCCACACACACACAACCCACCCCACACCACACCCACCCATCACCCCCCACTCCTCCCTCCACTCCCTCCCTCCTCCTCCCACCCACCCCCCCACGCCCCCCTCACGCACTCCCTCACTCACTCAACTCCCGCCCTCCCGCTGCTCTCTACTCTCTCTCTCGCACTCCCTCCCTCCCTCAACATCACTTACGCACCCCTCACTGCACCCATGCCACGCACGCACTCACTCTCGCACCCACTCACGCACCCACGCCTCACCCGCCTCACCCACTCACGCACTGACTCCCCCACGCACTCACCCACTCACCACCCCACTCACGCACCAGCACCCACGCACAGCACCCACGCACCCACCCCACGCACCAACCCCACCACCCACCCCCGCACCACCCACCCACCCACCACCCACCCCCGCACCCCCCCTCACCCACCCCACGCCCACCCACACCCACCCACGACTCCCCCCCTCACCCACGACCCTCCCCCCTCACCCACCCGCACTCACCCACTCACCCACCGCACGCACCCACGCACCCACTCACCCACTCACCCAACGTCCCCCACCCCCACACCCCACACCACATACCACGCCCACACTCCACACCCACCACACACCTCCACACACCCACACACCCACACACCCACACACCCACACACCACCCCCACTACCCACACACCCACACACCCACACCCACCCCACACCCACACACCCGACACAGCTCACACACCCACACACCCCCCCACACACCCCACACCCACCCCACACCCCACACACCCACACCCCCACACCCCCCCACACACCCCCACACACCCAGCCCACACCCCACACCACACACCACACACCCACCCCCACACACCCACAACCCACACACCCACACACCCCACACCACACATACACACCCCCACACACCCCACCTACCCACATACCCACACTACCCCCACACCCACATACCCACACATACCCACACATACCCACATACCCACATACCCACACATACCCACACTACCCACACATACCCACCATACCCACACATACCCACACATACCCACACACCCCACACCCCACCCCCCACCCCACCCATCACCACCACCCCCACCCCCACCCCCCCCCCCACCCCCACATCACCCACACCCACTCACACCCACCCACACCCACACCCACAACCACCCACTCCCCACACATCTACCACACACCCACACATACGCCACACACTCCCACACAGTCCCACACAAGCCCCACACAGCTCCACTACGCCCCACACTCGCCCCACTCTCTCCCACACTCTCCCACACCTCCCACACACTCCCACTACTCCCACACACACTACCCACACACCCACACACACCCACACACACCCTCACACACCCCACACACCCCACAACTACCCACACACACCCACACACCACACAACCACACACACTTCCCACACACCCACTTTGCTCCCACTCACCCACACTCCCACACCCACAACTCACCCACACTCACCCACATCTCACCCACTCACCACACTCCCCCACACCCCACACACACCCCACACACACCCCCCCACACACCCCCACACACACCCCACACCCCTACATCCAACAACAAACCCTCCACCCACAATACCCACCCCACCCCACCCCAACACCCCACACACCCACACCCCCACACCCCCCCACACCCACACCCCACACCCACACCCCACACACCCACACCCTCACACGCACCCACACACCCACACACCCCCCCCCCCCCACCCCACAAAAAACAAAAAAAGAACCCACATCCCACCACCCACACCCACTCCACCCCGACCCACATCCACATTCCACAACCCCACACCCCCCCCACCCCACTCCCCACCTCCCACTCCCCCACCCCCACCCCCACCCCCACCACCACCACCCCACCCCCACCCCCACCCCCCATCCCCCACCCCCCACCCCCCATCCCCCACCCCCCACCCCACACCCCCTCACACCCACCCACTCACCCACCCCCCCACAACCACCCCACCACACACCACCCACACCCACCACACACCCCCACCCCACCCCACCCACCCCATCCACCCACACGCCACACCCCACCCTCCACACCCACCACCCCACCCACACCCGCCCACACCCACAACACCCACTCACATCTCTCTCTCTCACTTATTCTGCTCACTCGTTCATGCACAGTGACATAGATTTATCTTCTCAACCGCCGACTTTTTTAGGGCTTTCGGCCCCCATGGCGTGGGCGGCGGGGTGGAGTCTGCTTGCCTTAGGAGGCCCAAGATAGAGAGGGAGATGATCGAAGATATACTTACATATCATATATATATATAATCATATACATACATATGATATATACACATCTGACACAAATCCAAGATTCAGAGTCCCTCGGCATCTTTGTTCTTGGTTCCACTGTCCCTGGTTGCATTAAGCTTAATTCATTATTCTGGTTTTTGAATGCAGACTGTCCGGTGGAACCATACCTGGTACGGACTCATCTTCGATATCGAATGCAGGGACGGAAATTGCTGTGCATGACGTTTGGGTTGGTGACAGTATCTGTCTGATACTCCCAAGCTGCAGCTGATCAAAGCAAGTGCTACCTGTACTCCTACTCCCCCATTTCCTTGTTGATCATGTCGGCGCGCCCCTCCCTGGTAAGCTCGACCGCACCATGTATGATACATACCTTAACCATCCGTTATGGATACCTTAACAATACGTTATAGGATCTTCTTAGACCCCCCTAATAGAATACTTTTTATTATAGAGTAACTTCACAGATAAGATTTAAATATGAACACCTCAGTCGAGAGCCCAAGATTTGCGATTTCAGTTGGGCTGAAGCTTATTTGAGTAACGGGTTCCTATGATGGAAATGAGACCTACTTGTAAAGAATATCTCTTAGGTACATTACGAATTATAATAGAATACCCCCCTACATACCCTCCAGTCGTAACCATATAGAGTTTATATAAGGTATAATACCTTGTATATACCTTATGGACTGCCCTTTGACGCCTATACTACATATACTCGACTGCAGTCCTTGAGCTACGCGAGCTCTTTGAGCTCCCTGAGTGAGGCCTAATTCGGAGTGGTGATCTAATTAGAGGGTGAGTTAATTAAGATTGCCTGCTGCACTTTCGTTACTCTGGGTACTTTTTGATACTGTTTTGGTTGCTTTTTGGGGTGTTGTTCTTTAGTCCCTTCTTAAATTTTTTGCAAAGTCGAGCAAAGCATTTGTGCATGGGCCGATCCGCTGGTTTCGCAAACACATTTCGGAAATGTTATTCTCCCTTTGAAAGTAACATTTTCGTCACTTTGGCCAGTGCAGCTAAGGGTCGCCCCCACCGTTCTAGACTGTAGGGCTAGTGGTGTACCCTGCATGCCAAACAAATAGTACGACTCGGGCTTTCCCTCGTCCTCGGCACCATCGTACGCTTGTCAGTTGGTGTTTGGCTTTTTGTAGGCCAACAGAGTGCGGTGGGAACCCTGGGGCTTGCCAGTTGTACAAACTTGCGGTTTGGAGACGATCTCCTTCTAGTGTCTAGGTGCTTTCCAAAACTTCCAGCTGGCTTCTTACTTCTTGCTGTTGGTTTGTGAAGTTGACTTTAATTGCGTAGAGCCAGTGCTTGGCTTGGTTTGTGGCAGGAGGGCTGGGCGATTCGGCTTCGGTTTGAGTGCTTAGTCGGTGTCACTTTATTGTTTGTACTCGTGCAATGTGCGCTCGAACTGAACCTTTGGATTGCATGTAGAGCATGCCAGTAAAAGTGTGGCAAGAGACCTTTTCGGGACGTGTTCCCTGCGGTGCGATCTTTCAGCTGGGTGGTGGGAGTAAATGCCTTTCAGAATTCTTCCCTATATATACGCCTATAGAATACGTATTCCTTGTTTGGGATACTCTATAGATACCCTAAAAGTCTCCATAGAATACGTGCTTTTTCTGCTATATGCCCAATATAAGCCTTGTAGAATACCATCTGGAATACTATCAAGAGTGTCTAAGAAAAGCCCTGTACATGATACTCCCCTATACCTTTTGTATACCCCTGAAAATCCCCTCTGGGATACCCGACAGAAACCTATAGATCAGGATTTATATACTAGAAATCAGAAGGAGCCCAGGTTTTTTGCAGCGTATTTAGCAACAGACATCTATGACCAAAAAGAGGAATACAGGAGAACAGCCTTTAGACTACCTTACAGAATACCCTTTCTACAAGTACAAACTTTAAAGAAACTCATATAAACTACGGCTTATCAGTAGTGTTTATTTGGTAAGTGGTTCGTGGTTCGTATGAAGGAAATGCGGAATCTAGTATTTAGGAACTCCGTGGAAAATCGATCCTTATCTAGTAACGGATACATACAGAGAATAGACCTCTTATGAAATACACGCTGTACATACCCTATATAGAATACCTTTTAAACTACCTAAAGAAGTGCGGCCCCGCCGTTCTTCGTAGCACCGCCACCAGGTCAAGGGGCCCCGCTCATTTTAACGGCCCAGCAACAAGATGCCCTGCAAAGGCAGGGGCATTACATTTTCCAGCGATGAAAGGGCTCGCATACCATCCCTCCTACTACGTACCTCATCACGGTCTGTGTTGTACCTCAGCCCATAACATGATGCGAGGCTGGAATTGCACTCTTCTTGAGCACCTTGTGAACAGCATGTGAATTTAAGCAGCATGTGCATGAATTTAAGCAGCATGTGCATGTCTTTGGCATGATCCTTGCATGGTTTCACTCTGGCACCACGATATTCTGCATGGTACGACGATGTGATGCACAACACGCTTGCATGACACGCTGACCTTTTTGCATATTGAATTCGTTTGCGAATACATGAATTCCTTTGCGCTGCAACATGCTGTGTGCTCACGACGTGCGAGCTCGATGACCCGGCTTCGCCGACTAAAATGAAGCAGTACCTTGGGGAGCGATCAGTGGTGAGTCCTTCTGCGTGCGAACTCCATGTCACACCGATGTTCTGTTATCAATACCTGCAGTGTGTACAAGATGCGGCTCAGAGTGAACTTTGAAGTGAGCTAGGGTTGTTTTCCTTTTGGGGATACCTTTCAAGCAGGGCTGGGTAGATCCATGCAGCCTCCATCGAGTCCGGAGCCCTGCCACGCACCTTGCTACGAAGAACCAAACAAAACAAGTGTTCCCCGTGTGAAACGTCTTAAGCTGAACCCCGAGGCTTCAAACCCATGCATCCCAGTGCCACCGCCTGTACTGGCAACAGCATATCAATGCGGCAATGTTGAGAGCGCTGCGAATGAACTCCTGAACCTCCCATCCCAACAAACTGTACAGCATTCTGACATCCTAGCACTGTGGACTCTCATCCCCAAAGCCAAGCGCCTCCGCCCGAAGCCCTCACTACAGCCCCCGAAGCTACCTGACCAGCCCCAACGTGAAATGTCCTACATTGTACTAGGTCAAAGTCCTCGTAGCCCAAACCACATCACACATGCGACTTTTGAGCTCAGTAGGACCACCAAAGCCCTTGTTCGCTTCATCACCTCGTGGGCCCCGAATTTCCAATTCACCACCATTGCCATCGTAGCTAATGGTCATAAAGGCCCACATCGAGACCTCAATAACTACGATGGGCTCTCATTCCTCACATGCCTCACAGTGCAGGACGGAGGTGACCTTTGGATTCAGGATAGAAATGGAACGAACCCCATCTGCCACCTTGGAAATACACTATGGGGCAACATCATTGAGATTCAACATCGTCCTATCCTGTTCCCGAGTAGAAGCCACCTACATGTATGTACACCGTGGAAGGGACAAGTGAGAGTTGTCCTCATTGCTTTTAATACCATACATACCCGAGCCCTCGACGAGACCAACCGCTCCTTGCTTAGGAAGGTGTGGCAGTTTCCGGTGCCAGGAGCCCCCGAACTGGATCGGTGGAAGTTGCGCTTTAACCTACAGAGGAGTATTCGGGAGTTTGGAATGGGATCGGTGAACCAAAAACAGACCCACAAGGCTCCAAGCGAACAAGAAAATGAGAGCTCATGAGGAGTAAAGTGAGAGAAGACAAAGAAGCATGCATGAGTAACAGCAATCATTGTCCTGGTGTGGCGCAGTACTTTACGGAAGCCTGAAAAAACCCATAAAAAATTAATACAGCAATGTACCGCCCCTGGACCGATGCTTGCAGTTACTTGCACATGCACATGGTCTGTCTCTTACAGTCCCATCCTCCCTCTCTGTCTTCCTGCTCTCCTTCTGGGTTATACGGGGTATATAGGGTGCTGCTCCCAGGAGCTATGGGCCTTATATATTCAGGGACCCCCTTTGTGCCTTCGGTGTCTTCAGGGCTTGCTTGGGCGAAACATGTGACCAATGCCATGGCTCGACTGCGGAAACAACTCTGTCTGCACTTGCCACGTCGGGCGACCGTCCGGAGGGACTCTGTGAGGCATATTCTGGCTGACGCATGGTGCTGGCAAAGCGCGGTCTGAAAGTGTGGGAGGATCATTCGCGAATTCGTCAATTCTGGAATTCAACATGGGAGACTACAATTGCATACAGCCAGATTGCATTGCTTCATGAGGGACGTGTGCGACTGGTGAATTCATACTTGGAATTCATTTGTGCCACTGGACACTGTGGACGAACAGCGCGGACAATCTGGACTGGAATTCACGAATGCCTCTGCATGGGCACAACTGCATGCTGCGTGAACAAGCTGAAACTCCTGGCATAATGGGGACGATGGTGCAATGTCCCTGCTTGCTCCAGTGGATTTGGCGCTGTGACGACAGAAGTGCCTGCATGGAAGTGTCTGCATGGAATACGATTGCATGCGACTGCATGTTGTTATCAATGGTGAATGGTGGCTGTCGGGAGGCACCGATGGTGACTGTCGGGAGGCAAAACGCTGCGGAGAAGCATGTAAAGGCCGCAATGGCGTGGCAAACCCAATGTGTGAGGGGGGTTCCAAGAACTGGAAAACAGTGGAGACGGACAGGGACTGAATCAACAGAGAGTGTGAATCCGCGAACAGTTGAGTCAAGCTGCATGTCAACAATGCGGAGTGTGTGCAACATATACTTCGCTGCTTGAGTTGCCCTTTTGTCAGGATTGCAAAGTCAACACGATAGACTGCCGTCCGAAAGTGATGAGCAGACTGACATATGTATAGTTTCGGCGTGTGATACCATGAGTGTACCCTGCATCGTAGGTTTGTCCTAGCCAGGCGGGAGGCAAAAAAAACTACCTAAAGAACATTTGTATACAATTCCACCCGTTTACCCTACATACACCTTATAGAATACCATCTGTAATACCTTGTAAAATTAATTGAAGAAGACCGCCTCTATCTGATACATCCTGTATAACTTATGTATGCCATATAGAACACTTATCCTGTACCTTCTGGGATATCCGTTCCTAAAGTACTTACAGATTTAAAATAGCCTGAACCCAAGATCTGAGAATTTCCAGTTGAATTGAAGCTTTTGTGTAAGAGATTTCTATGCAGAAATCAAGAACCAAGAAGAAAATCCTTACAATTACCTTATAATATACGCCCCTTACAGAAGACCGCCTATGTAATATATCCTCCGTATACCTCAAGTATACCTAATAGGACATCCTCTGGAATACCTTTTAGGATACCATTTACAATAACTTAGAATACCCTAAAAAAGGAACCTCAGGAGGAGCCCGCCGTTTAATACGTAGTATACAGAGGACATTAGAAAATACTTCGTGGTATTGTCTTGGGTCGAAGGGTGTTGTGTCGTCGTAAACAAAGAATACTACGCAATGCAAGACTTTTCGTTCGGAATGGAATCGTCACAACGTCTCGACAGTACAAGAACAAGCTTCGAGGTAGGTTTTTGGTGGGGGGGGGGGGGGGGGGTAGCATATATATATATATATATAGATAGATATGCATAGACTATATATGCACACACACACGCCGCTCACATGTATGTGTATGTATGTTTGTCTGTATACATGTGTGTCTGTCTGTAGGTATGTATGTATTTGCGTGCGTGCATGCGAATATGTGCACGTATACATGTATCACAAGTACAAGAGCAGGTAATGCAATATAATACAATATCATGTAACAGTATGATATGTGTGTGGTATGTTTGCTTTTCTTCTCCACGTGAGACAGACCCACCGCATAATAGTGCCCAGAGTTAACCCACAGAGAGAAGAAACCCGTGGTGCCTGCCGTTTGCGACCCACAGTCCTGCGGCCAGTCTAGAGTTCCCCATCGGTCCAAATTGCTGCCCCGGCACTGAACAAGCCCCAAGGCTCCTTGGGATCGCACAGCACGCCGCAACCTTTGTCTCAAAGACGTCGTTGCACATCGTCGACCGTCGACCTTGTACGTAGCAGGCTGACAAGCATCAATATCCCGCTCTGAGGCAATGTTGAAAAGCTGTCGCACACAGTGAGCTGGGAGGTGGAAGGCTGGGATTCGTTTGCTACAACATGTGGTCTTGCAGAGTCAGCAAAAGAAGAATCTCTGCCGTAGCCAGTGTCATGCAGGAGCAGCACGATTTAGAGAGAGAGAGAGAGAGAGCGAGAAGATCTAGCACCCAGGTCATGGTTTTGGCGCGGTGCGGTTGGGGGGGGATTGTGGGTATGCTAAAGTCTGACCACTAACATTAATGGTTGGACCTAAAGCACAGGGTATCAATGCGAGTCTCGAGGGAACGTGCTTGTCTGCCCACCCCGAAAGGGGCATCGAGGACGAACAGACGCGAGCCATGGGGAGTAGGCCTTCGGGGCAGAGCGCATGCTGGCATGTCATGTGCTCACACCCCTCAGCAAGCAAGCAGGCAAGAAGATGTAGCATCCAGTTGTAATGGCTGGAGTGGACAGATAGGCCAGATAGGCAGAGAGAAGGAAGACGAGAGAGCTCTCTCGCTGGTTGGGTCGAGTCGGCTCACGGCAATGGGGGGCGTTAGGGGGTTAAGGATGCTTGATGCCACCTTTGCTGTTAACAACACCAGGCTCAGGACAATGCAGGCGCCTTGGGCTTTCTTTGGATGAAAAGGCCGAAATCGGGTAGGCTTATGTGCATCGCAAGCTTTGCAGTCCCTCAACCTTAGAGAGGGCGACAGCATGTACGTTTCTCTTCGATCCCCAAAGACCGGACGATTGAACCCTGACAGCCTGCAGGGCTGGGGCTTTCAACCGCCTCGCATGAGCGCGCTTTGCTTTGATCCGTGCACGAGGCTGCCAGCCCAAGCCTAACGAACGATGTTTGCTGTCAAGCTTGTTGGGCTCCTCGGACTTCATGGAATTAGTCAACGAGGTATGTTGACAGCAAGAAGTCTGTTGTAGTGCCTTGTCAGCGTGTGAAAGCACCAGGCTGTCCTGCAAGCAGTGTCAAGCCTTGCTAATACTAGGCTTTTTAGCTTGCTCTGCATGCCATCTCTCAACCTGTTTGTGCCGAGCCATGCTCGATCGTTCTCAAACGCAACCCCTGCTGTTTGCCCAAGGACGCGACCAGCCTTGGGCGGCCAATGAGAGACGCTCGCACATAGGCGGTGGCTCCTCATCCAGGACCCTTGCCCGTCCTAGATAGCTTCTCCACAGATAGTGGTGACTTGTCCAGACCCGCTTCAAATGCGATCATGAGCACATCCGAGGATGAGAGCAGATGCTCCAGCGTTGCTTGCCTTTCTTACTCTGACTCTTTCGGGCCCTGGGCTCGACCAAACCAGACTTGGAGCACAGCTACGGCCAACCACTGCAAAGTCCAAGCCATACCAAGCCGATCCTGCGCGCTTCCGTGTTCCAAGAGGTACACACCACAATCTCAGCAGCCTCGACAGCGAGCCTGGTTCGGCAATGCCGCGCGGGACTTTCACTGGACTGGCAAGGGACGGAAAATGTTAGCGGAGCAAGTCATCCTGTTAATCCACTTTACGTCGTGGCAAGTGTCTCTGTCGCTGTTGTTGTTGATGATGGTGGGGATTGAAGCGGGGTCGGTGGTGGCATGGAGGGTGCCCCTTCGCCACCGATGCACATGTCCCACAGCGGGAGCCAGGTCCGCTTTGCTTTCTGGGGCAGGAACTCCGGGCTCGTCGCGCAGGCTGCTTGAAGTGCCTCCCATAAATCTCCTGCCCCCCCGAATCAATAAACTTTGTATACAGAGCTGAGCTGACACTGCCGCTGTCTCTTAAACCAGACACTGCAATGTGCACATGGCCACCAGCATGTTTTGCCACTGTTCCGCCACCACAGCTTCCGGGAACCATGCACCCCGAAAGACGATCTACGACCTGCCTGGCGGGACCGCCCAGGCTGCGGAACAGCTCCATGGAATCGATAATTAAGCCCGAGACTCTATCAACGATCACCCACGCATGGCGCATCTCGCAGGACGCCACCACATCCAGTGGCAGCGCAACTGGCGGCAGAAGCTACCCAAGCTGTGACGACGCGCCAAGGCAGATCACCTCGCTCCGAACAGTTGGCCCCAGCGGTGCCTGGTCCCTAAAACAGTTGCCGGTGATTTGAGGCCGTTTTCGCCTTAAGGCGAGGAATGCAGTTCGGATACGTTCGGATGCTGCATCTCGCATAATAAAGAAAGCCCAGCACCTGTTAGACATATTCGCCAAGTGGTTTCACGGGCTATAAGTCTCGCGTATAATAATACCGAGCCCCAAAAGGTTCTGGAGGGTCATTGTTTCCATGAAAGGTTTGCACAGCGCGCCAGGGAGCTCAAACCTGGCATTCCATCGTGTTGGCTTACGATATTGCGCATGCTGTGCACCGCCCAAACCCTCACAGCATCTGAATCTGTGTGCCAAACCCCATGGATTCGTCAAGCGCCTCTTCCAGTCATAGCGATCATAGCGCCACGCGTTGCAGGACCAATTGGATCCGGTCGAAGCTGGCAGCCCGAGCTGCATCAGCCAGCTGCCCGTTGAAACCTCTTCGGTGATCTGCCGTCAGACAGGCAGGTGTTTTGTGAGTTTAAATCTTTGAAGCTTATCGGCAGCCCGGTGCATGAACCCGCATGATGCCTAGTGTTGGGTCTGCAAAGTATGATATTTTCAAAGCAAGAGTAAGCGAATTGCGAATTTCGGCCCCTGTCAGTTTGCCCTAGCCCGGGCCACATGTTGATCCTTCCGCATCGAACCGAACAACGACACCCCGCATTTCGGGTCTGAAGCATGCCCGGGAAAGCGCCGAGCAAACTTTCCACTAGGTTTATACATCAAGAGAGATCTCGCTGTGTGCGGATCGGCCGAACATGCTGCGACAGGGATTGCTGGAGAGCGTTTGCAACAGCCTTTGCTCAAGGATGGTTTGCACACATGAGTCGTGCCGTGAAGTGGCTTACATTGGTAGAGTTTGGCATAGGGGTCCTGTGATGGGTTACTGCCGGACGCTTGTTTCGTTCACACGACGAAAGTCGTTTTGCCGCTCTCACATGGATCCTATTGGTGGAAAGCCGGGCTCAAGTTACTGGAACCAAGCTCGACATGACCAAAGGTTCCTTACGATCCCCAGTCTGACTAGCCAATCGCCTCTGGGAGAGCAGAGACGATCGTAGCCCGCTTCGAGAGTTCCTGTAAGACACAGTATGGGGTCCGATGTCGGGCCTCCCGCGCTGGAAAGTGGTTGGTGGAGGCGACAAGGGTGGGATTCTTGCCCCCTGGCCTGCAGCAACTGGGGCACTGCTTCCTCTTCAGACTTCGTTTTCGCTAATCACAGTCATATTGACAGGGCAAAGCGCAAAGGTTCATGGGAGCAGCCGTATAGCTGATGGGGTTGAGCTTACCAGCTTATGCAGAAGCTTCACTGCAAGCGCTGCAAAAGACTTCACCCTTCTCGCTCCAGCCCTGCCGTGAACCAGGTGCGCGAAAAGAAAGAGACGAGCTCTTCACAGCTAGACGCCAGACTGGGCACCAATGCCATCATCGAGGTGAAGGGTTTGACGGCTTTGGCTGTTGAGACAGATTCCAAAATTGCAGCAGCACGAAACCCTCGCTTGCGCTGCTCATCTAGTGGAGGCATGTGTCGAGTCGTCCAACGGAGCGCAAGGCATACCGCGATCCAAACCCGAGACTCTTCAAATCGAAGCTCTTTCTGTTGGTTTGTACGGTGACGCGATCCGGAGCTATGGAATGCAAGCAGGGAGATCTGCCGCTCAAGCCTGTCTCAAGTCATCTCACCAGGAGCTGCAGCTTTCGGGCGAGCGGCTGCACTTCCGTAAGATCGAAGGCGATGGCCCAGATACCGGCTGGGTCAGTACAAGGCCCGAATGGGTTTGCTTGAACGTGGCTCAGGTGGGCTTCAAATTAGATTAACTCGAAGAATCCGGCTCGAGCGATTTGGTGGTAATCTTAAAGACTGGCTGTATTCGCTTCTCTGCACCAGACCGAGCTGCTCTGGGAATCGAGGCTGTAGAAGTTGAGAAGGCCACGATCCTGACGCTTGAAGTGGTGTGTTCCGCAGTAATGCCTAAAATCCACCGTGCGTGGCTTCCTCCCTCCCTCTCTCCCTCTCTCCCTCTCTCTCCCTCCCTCCCTCCCTCTCTCCCTCTGTCCCTCTCTCCCTCTCTCCCTCTCTCGCTCTCTCTCTCTCTCTCTCTCACTCTCTCTCTCTCTCTCTCTCTCTCTCTGTCTCTTTCTCTGTGCCTATATATACACACATATATACATACACACACTCCATACATACAGACACAAGTAAATACATAGTTATACAGAGGCGTGTGCTTGTGGGTGTGTGAGCGGGAGAGAGCGAGACAGAGAGAGAGAGAGAGAGAGAGGGAGAGAGAGAGTTTGCGCCGAGCGCCTGAGGGTCACGACGTGACCCTTACGCCCGGCAGAAAGAAAGAAAAAAGAGATGCAAACTCAAGTCCCCAAGCCCAGGAGATAGATAGATAGAAATGCAAACTTGCAAGCCGACCGGCCCCAAGCGGACCCTCAAAAGAGCGCGTGCCATGGCGTGCCTCCTCGCCCCCGCCCAAACCCTGGGAAAGAAAGGGTGGGTGGGTGGGTGGGTGTGTGTGTGTGTGTGTGTGTGTATTGAGTTTGAAATTCTCGACGTGCATCTCGCTTGCTTGGTCGAGCAGCCTCCCAGGCTGAAAGGCAAGGATCTCTTGCTTCCCTTGGATGAGCACAGTGGAGCCAGGAGGCCCGTGGTTGCTTGGAAGGACCAGTCTTGGGTTTACGTAGCTGTCAGCCAATGTAGGTTGCCAGGTGTGCGGAGTTCTTGAATCGCAATTGCACGGTGAGACAGGTAATTTAATCTGAGGCCTGAGAGAATTTCGAGTTTGTGTGAGGATGGCTTCGGGTTTTGCGGTGGGCTGCAGGAGGGATCGTGAACTTTTCGGTATATTTATATTCGAATAAGGAATGTAGTTTCTATATGGCTGTTTCTGGTGTTGGGACGAGTTTTGTTCACGCTGTGCCTCAGGTCAGGTCAGGTCTTGGCAAACTGACAATCACTCCGTTTGCTTGGGGCACTGGGCTCGATGTGAAAGTCGCAAGATTTGCAAATAAGACTTCCAAGGCTCCGAAGAGACACATTTCTGTGAGGACTTGGCTGGTCAAGCACTGGGCCCGTGGCTCGCGCACGAGGATAAGGTCACGACGGTTCACTTCGATTCCGTTTCTTGTCCCCTGTTGGCCCGTGGACGATGAGGTTGTCGTACGAACGCACTCAGGAATCAGGTCGGGGGGAGGCTGTGTGACGGCGTGTGAGCTGCAGCCAGACTTTTCAGCATTATACTTAGTATGGACCCCAAAACGCCATAGGCCCAATGCAAACGTGAAAGTGTCTGTCGGTTGTGATTGAGGACTAGTGACTAGTGACTAGAAACTGCTCATTGGAAACCAAACCTCCTTCAGTTCAGAGTTTCGGAGAGCTGCTGACGATGCAGCTGTCACGCGGCACATCTCCTTCGAATCAGGAAACGCAGACCCCAATGATGCAAGGCCTGGACACTCGTACACGTACATGCCGACGTTTTCCGCAGTAAAATGGCAAGAAGGCTGCCGAGTCGATCCCCTGTGCTTCTGTAGCTGTACATCTTCGCATCTTAGTAGTAACTTAGAAGGAAGCAATCGCAAAGATTTGTCAACGAAGTATGCCACCCTAAGTTTGACGTTTGTTTTGATTTCCAAAGGCATTTTCAGAAACATTTCCTTGTGTGCCGTGTGCCTTGGTTTTGCTCCGTCGTAGTGTCGTAGTCATAGGCGTGGTCATCGCCGAAGTCGTACAGTTGTATGGTGAGGCACTGGTGTTGTAGTCGTCGTCTTGGTCGTGGTGGTGGTGCCGGTGTCTGTGTCGGTGTCCGACCACGACGACAACCACGAGGATTCCTGTTACTGCTACCGCCGCTGTTATTGGCTCTTGCTTAACCTGCTGTAAGTGACGTTGCGATGGTGGATCTTCGCAAGGGTTGCTGTGGTCATGCCTTGGTAGTGTTACTGCCCGCGTCGTTTCCGTAAGCCTTTTGCTGGTTATTGTCTCCTTCCTGCCGTGCCAGCACCAAGCATAGACATTCTAAGTGTCAGGACTTTGAGTTCCCTGGTGGCATGAGTACGATTGATGCTGTTATGCAGTTATGCATGTCCCCAAAAGGCGATGCCGTGACGCCGCGCGTGCCAGAGTAAATATGGCTCTAGTTGTCAACGGTGGTTTTCAGCCGCATATTTTAATCCAACGTTGATCACCAGGTTGGATCCTGTCCTCGCCTAGTGAGTGCCTGCTGGTCCACCGCCTCGGTGGCAGCCTCGGCATAGAACTCAAGACGCCTTTGGCCATGGTATGGTGGAATGATGCGAGGTTTTGCATTTCGGGGTGGTACTGGTGGTCATACTGCGATAATGTCATGGGGCTGGTGGCGATGATAGTGATGATCATGACGATCGTTAAGTTGGAGTTTAGGATTTGTTACTCGGATGGTGCCATTCTGGTAATCCTTGGGTCGATGAAACAGGCAAACCAGTGCTTTGGAAGATGGTCTGGAGCATCATCACCAAGATGCTGTGCTGATGTTTTGATGGTGATGATGATGATGATGATGGTGATGATGATGATGATGATGATGATGATGAGGGTTGAGGTGTGCCGTGGTGGTAGCGTGGTGATAAATGGTGATGGCGAGCTGACGAAAGTGGTGCTCTTCAAGCTGCATCCATCTGTGCTCAGCAGCCACGTCGTCGGCTGATTGTTTGACCTGTGGATGCGAAGTCCTGCATATGGGCGTTCAACACATCGACCGCTGTGACCGGTCCACAACCAGTTGGCAGCCCTGCGCTCGGTCCTTTTGTCAGTAAGATCCTCGAGAAGCACGAGATGGACATGTAGATGATGCATGGTTTTCATGCAAAGATGCACTTCGCCGATGGCCATTGGCGGCGTTTCTGCAAACTCGACCACGTGCTGAGCAAGCATATCGGACGAACCTGCTTAATCCCAAACGCTGCTAGGGCTTTATTAAGAGTTTGCTTGAGCAAGAACGAGCCATGCAACTGAGCGAGAAATACTGCTGTTCTCTGCCTGAAATCCCACGAAGGTCCGGGCATGGGAGCTGTCTGCACGCCCGCGGCAGCTGTGGGTTGCTTGGCTTCCAGCCTTCTCTGGATATGTCCTTAGCTGTGAAGAGCCAAGTTGTGCGTGCTTGCCTTGGATTTGATTGGCCACAAGCAAACAGCACAGACTGCGATAGTTGCAATGTGTGTGTGGCAGACTGCCGCATGCAGGCCGGTTTCGATGAACAGCAGCTCACGACATCTTTAGCAGCAGCACTCCGCGATGGGTCTTTGCGAAGTGGAAAACACCTCTGGCCAACGCCTGTGTGCAGTTTCATAAAATCGCGGCTTGTGGTGTTGGACGCTGTGTGGCTGTTGGTTGGCACGGAAGCTTCACAAGAAAACGGAAACACTGGCAGACAAGCATAGGTGTCACTCTCCCTCTGCAACAATCATGCTGAGAATCATGTTCCTTGAATTTGCCTACACATCCGCTAACCACACAAACTGTGTCGCTGCACTTAGGAGATGACGACTTCAGGGCTCGTGAGCGACGTTCTATTCACTTCGGCGAGTTGTGCCTGGACTGCGATCACAGCTAGAGCCGCTCAGGCCTCCACTCACTCAGCCGAAGCTCTTTAGGACCTTCGACCCTTCCTCAGCACCTGGTCAGTGAGTGCGACTTTCAACGATACGTGGAAGGCTCCACTCCTTGTGTTTGGCTTGTTCTGAGGCACCCTCTGAATCTAGCATTCACGGTTTCAGGCGTTCAAAACAGAACGTCTCAAGTGGTGGTTGCCAGCCTAAGCTGCAGCAGATGGTTTTTGTCGTGCCGCGTAGAGCTCTCCGGAACTCGTTCCAACCTACGACAATCTTGCCGGACCGGACACGTGTGGAGTCGTTCCTGGTAGCGTGAAGTTTCTATTCGTACTCGCCGCCCAAGGTTTGTTGACAGCTGTCTCTGCCAATCCGATGCCATCCGGGAGCGTTTGTCACCAAGCCGATTTCAAGCAACGCAGCTTGGTCTGAAAGGGTCTGGACGGCGAAGGGGGAGACGGGCGTGAGAGCGACAAAGTGAGCGGAAAAACTGTGCCACCGTCAGGATTCGACAGCCAGGCAGACAGACAGAACCCACATATATCGAGACAGACAGACACAGGCGGAGACCAGCACATACAGAGCGCAGATAGGCACCACAGACAGACACAGACATTCACGTAGAGCCAGACAGTGACGGAGACAGGCAGACACATGTACAGACGACGACACACACTTGCAGTAGACCAGATGTGAGTCGGAGATGTGGCTCTTTCTTCTAGTCTTTCTCTGTTCTCTTTACTGTCTAGCTGCAGCGTTTTTTCTGTGGGACTCAAGGCTCATTTACATCAAGCAGCCACTGCACAGAACTGGCATACAAATGACTGGCAAGCACCGCACAGAACTGACATGTACATGTCTGGCAAGAGCTTATTTGAGTCCACCAGCTATCCAATCAATGGATCAAGGTGCAACTCTGCAGGTAGAGGCAGATATGTCTACATTCCTGTCCATTTGTGCTCTATAGCTAAGAGCACAAGCGCAATGCCCCCTGCATTATCAACATAGTCAACGTCAGCTTTACCTAGCCCTTCGGCACAGGGATGACACACACACACACAGACACGAACCTGCACCTACACCCACATCCACATTCACACCCACACCCACGCCACAGGATGCTATGGGCACATGGCACACGCACCCGCACCACTGGCACACGCCACATACACGCATGAACACACGTACAACACAAGCCAATGATTGCCAATGCGACAAGTTCGCAAGCATACAGGCATGGCCGAGCTGGACGACCAGCTCGGCGACGGTGACCAGCTGGTTTGTTGGTCAACCAACCCGCCAGCGCCAATGCGAAGGTCTCTTGCAAACGTGATCGCGCTGAGTTTTGACCGGGTTGCAGCATGACATGAAATGTCGACGTCGATAGTTGAATCTATATAGACTCTCGACATGTCTGTACCTGCTGCGAAGTAGCTATCCTACTGACACTGGCATGGTTTGCATCATCGCGGTACGATGACTCGGGCACGTGCTCATGCTGGAGCTAGCAGCTAGATTGGCTTTCCATGGCGAAACCCCGGTCTGTGGATCCGTGCATTGGCAGCAGCACGCTAGAGCTGTGAGATGCCAGGATGACATTTCACCAGCGTGGATGTCATCGGCTACAGGCTGCGTAGGGGGAATTTAGCAGTGATTCCCAGGCCCTTGCGTTCAGTGGCCAATGAATGAGGATGAGCGGTGCTGCCATGTAACCACTTAACGAACATAGGATTGAGCACACTCGGTAAACCTTGTTGTTTCGGCAAGGCCTATCTCGCAATACTAAACCTGATTAACTCCTCAAACCCCAAACTCTTGCAGCAGAGCTTCTCCAGGAAGAGAAGGAATTGGTTTCAGCTTTCTGCAGGCGACACGACACCTGTGCATGTCTCGCAGCCTTTCCATAGCAAGCCACAGATTCCTTGCATGCAAGGCCTGGCCGGCTGGCGCAGCACCCGAGCTAGTTGCATCGGCATCGGCGGACCGCTTAGCAGTGTCAGCCGTGGAGGCTCTGATGTTGAACCCCGCTTTCAAGTCTCGAGATCCCTTCGAGTCCGAGCAAGTCGCAGTCTTTAGCAGGGCGACGGCTGCCCGAAGCCTGAATCGGCGTGGAACACCGTGCGGCCGCATGGTGATGGCAAGCTTCGACGCCCAGTCCCAGAGTTTTCCATCTTGTGTAAATTCTACTGCAAGAAGTGACAACCGTCTCGCACTCCTAGACTGCATCAGGATTCGAAGGCCCTAAAGAATTCGCCCGACAACTTCGCTCTTCTTCCTTGCTGTAGACAAGGACACCTCGCGTGGGAATCGGCAGAGCGCCTTTGGAGCTGCGACACATCAGGCCCGGACCCCCCCCCTTCATCGGGGGCTGCAAACTCTCGCCTCGTGGCATTTTGCCACGTCACGGAAGCGGTGGGGTCTGTGGGGTGAGCTAACAGTTTGCAGCAGCCCTAGCAGTACCGCAGAATGACGACAGCGTGCCCATTGTCGAAGGAGACTATGTAAAACGTGCTTTGTTAGGATGAGAATAAACATGATGGTCAACATGTACTGGTGATGATGATGGTGCTGGTGATGATGTTATGTTCGCGGTCATCAGTCGGT